CGCGGGCGCGGCGGGCGCGAAGGCGCCGGCGCAGAGCTCCGGGAGCGCCGCGATCGCCTGCCACTGGCAGGGCCGGTACCACAGGAACCCCGTCGCGCCGTCCGACGGCGCGCAGACCGCGGCCGCCGGGTACGCCTCGGCCTGGAGCTCGAAGACGGACGCGCCGCGGGCCTCCTTGGCGGAGCACGCGCCGTAGTCGATGCGCGGGTCCAGGAACGCGCCGCACATCGCGCTCACCTCCGCCGCCACGGACGGCGCGAGCCGATCGAGCGCGCCGGCGGCCGCCGGCGCGCCGCGGGGCGCGCGACCCGCCGCGGCGACGAGCGCCAGCGCGCCCGACAGCCCCGCGACGACCCGGGCCACGCGCCGCCACGCCGGCGTCGCCGGGCGCGGGAGGATGGGCGTCCCCTCGTCCGCGGCGTTCGCCGTCGACGCGCGGGTGCAGCCCATCGTCATGGACAAAGCCGAAGCCTAGAAATTGGTGCAACATTGAAGGGCACGTCGGCCTAGATTCGCGGGCCCGGGGGAAGCGACGCGCGCGGCAACTGCGAATGAATTACCACATGAGGAGGACGTCACCCCGCCCGGGTCAACCGACGACGACTTGGACGTCGGCCCGCTCGTAGTCCTCCATGCCGATCTTGATGAGGTCGTCCTGCTCGAGGTAGGAGAGGTCGCTGACCTTGCGAGCGCCGAGGTCCGCGATGGCCGCGCTGTACTTCCCGAGGCCGCGGCGCTCGAGCCAGAGGTCGAGGTTGCTCCGGGCCCCCGGCCGGCCGTCGACGCCGCGCTCGAGGCGCTTGGGGCCGGGGTCCGGCGTCACGGGCGCGAAGCTCGGCGCGAAGCCCGACAGCGGCGATCGCGGCGTCGTCGGTGAGCCGGGAGGTACCGGGGACCAGCTCGCGGGGGACCATTGCTGCGACCAGCTCGTGCGCGACGCGCATAGGAGGTCCGTCGGCGTCTCGGGCCGGATCTCGCGCGGGTCGACGCAGCCCCCGACGCCCGCCGGGCGGTCGATGGAGAGGTCGATGGTCCGCCCAAAGTCGGAATCGTTTTGGAAGGACACGGGCCGGAACCCGATCGCGCCGACGAGCACCGGCGGCGGCGGCCCGCGCGGCGCCGCCGTTCGCATCCTCTGTCAAACGCAGGTGCCGAAGATCGGCAAGCTGTTTAAGCTGCCCGGTCACGCGAATGTGTTCGGATGTCGCTTGCGGCCGACGCTGAAGCACGCGCAGCCGACGGTGTTGCAAGCGGGTTACGCGGCCTGCGCGCGCGACCGCGCGGGCGCCTCCGCCGGGCGGAGCTCCGGGCGCATCTTGCGGGACATGGCGAGGGCGAAGTCCATCTGCCGCGCGCGGACGTCGGAGATGGAGTTGCGCACGAGGAGGTCCGCGAGGTCGCGCACGGACGCGGCCGCGTGGAGCAGCGCCACCCTCGCGCGCCGCGCGCGCGCCCGGAGCTCGTCGCTCGGCTCTTTGTCGGGCAGGAGCGCCAGGTTCTGGTGGGCGCGGTGGCCCGGCGCGATGCCGTGGTCCATCTCCCACTGGCGGTGCGCCTCCGCGCAGCGCATGCCGCCCAGACCCGCGTTGAGCCGCGAGGCGAAGACCGCGAGCGCGTAGGGCCGCGCCGTCGACAGGCGCATGCGCTCTCTCGCCCGCGACCCGCGCGCCTCGGCGTCGACGACGCAGCCCAGCTTCTCGAAGGTCTGGGCGAGAAAATGGCGCAGCCGCGCGGACGCGGCGCAGACGAGGACCGTCGGCATCGCGTCGACGTCGACGGCCGCGCGGCCCAGCGCCGCTGACGTCGACTCGTCGTCGCGGTGGACCTCGAGGGCGCCCTTCGTCGGGTCCCAGGGCTCCTTGGGCGATCTGCCGGCGTCGCGGCGCCGCGGCTTCGGGAGCTCGCGGCGCCGCGAGCCCGCGGACGCCTCCGCGAGGCGCGCGGTCTGGTGGCGCCACTCGCCGCCGTCGGCGTCGGCCTCGCGGAGGCAGAGCTCGAGGTGCCGCGCCGCGGCGTGGAGCGGGCCGCAGGACGTCGGGGGCGCGACGAGCGACAGCTTCGCGTCCGGGTGCTGCGGCAGGCCCGGCGAGAGCGCCGCCCCCAGCGCCGCGGCGACGCGGAACCGGTCCGGCGACGGCACGACCTCGAGGTGGGGCGCCTGCGCGTCGGCGCCCCGGGGAAACAAACCCGCGAGCAGCGACGCCTTCGCGCCGCGCTCCGGCTTGGACGTCGAGAACCGCCGCGCCGTGAGCCGTAAAGCGGCCAGGGACGCGAGCCGCGGCGCCGTTTGCGCCGCCGCGTCGTCGTCGCTGGGCGCGTCCGTCGACGGCCGGCTGTCCGCGCCGCCGCCGAGGCGCCTGTCGAGGCGGTCCAGCGCGTAGAGCCGCTCGCGGACGCGGTCGCGGCGCTCGTTGAGCTCGTTGACGACGTCCGCGAGCCGCGCGGACTGCCCAAAGTCGTTGCGCAGCTTCGTCGCCATGTCGATGGCCCCGTTGGTCGTGACGTCCGCCCGCTCGAGCGCGCGCCGCGCGAGGTCGACCCTGCGCTGCTTCCAGTGGCCCGCGGCCTCGCGGATCGAGCTCCGCGACACGCGGCGGAGCTCCATGATGCGCCCGAAGGGCATGTCGTAGCGCCGCGCCTCGGCCTTGCCCAAGAGGCTCGGCGGCTCCGCGAGGTAGCGCGCCGACGCCGTCACGGCGATGGTGAGCACCAGCGGGGGCGCCTCGCGGTACTTGGACGCGCAGCGCATGCGCATCGTCTCCCACGTCTCCCGGTTCACCGCGAGCTGCTGGACGATGGCCGACGTGCGCGCGTTGTTCGCGACGGCGCGGCGGAAGGTCTCCAACGGCAGCATGGCGACCTCGGAGGCCCTCGTCGCCGTGACGGACGCGCGGTACACGGGCAGCCGCCGCTGCGCCTCGACGAGGCCGAAGATCTCGCCCGGCGGTAGGACGGCCATGTCGAGGGGCAGCGTCGTCAGCTCGTCGAGCTCGTAGGCGACGTGGACCCGGAGCTCGCCCGTGCAGACGACGAGCATGGTCGACACGGCGTCGCCCTCGCGAAAAATCAGCTCCTCCTCGCCGTAGGCGTGGATGACCATCTCGCGCGCCAACGCGTACGTCGCCTCGATGGTCCAGGAGTCGAAGAGGAAGCAGCTCTCGAGGAGCGTGATCTTCCGCTGGAGCGCGCCGTCGGCGTTCTTCGAGATGTCCATGACGTAGATCTTGTTGGGGATGATGAGGAAGTGCGCGGGGGGAATCTTCTTCGCGTCGTCGCGCGACGCCGCGGCGTCGCCCCGGAGCGCGCCCGGCGCCTCGTCGAAGCCGCCGTCGCCGTCGGAGACGACGGACGCCGTCCGTCGCAGCTCCTTGCCGCTCCGGGAGAAGGCGAAGTTTCCGAAGCCCTGCCCCGCGTCTAAGGTGACGATCAATTCGCCGAGCGCGGACGTCCGCGCGGGCTCGGAGCCGTACCAGACCTGCTCGGGCCCCTCGTCCTGCTCCTCGAGCACGTCGTCGTCGACGTAGGCCGACTGGCGCTTGTAGATGGACACGGACCCGGCCGCGATGAAGAAGTAGCCCGTCGGCGGGTCGCCCTCCTCGAAGATCAGGTCGCCGCGGTAGAGCGTGCGGCAGCGCACGTGGGCGGCGATGCGCTTCTGCGACGACTTCGGTAGGCCCTCGAGGAGCGACGGCGCGAGGTGCGCGAGCTGCGACGCGATGGCGTTGACGTTGCGGTCCTCCGCGGAGCTCTTCAACAGCTCCTGGAGCGCGAAGAGCGCCGTGTCCCTTTTCTTCCGCGACGACACGTCGAGCAAGCGCTGCCGCAGGCGCAGGCGCGCGTCGCGCGCCCGCGACAGCATGACGCTCGTCATGCGCGCGACGGCGCGCATCGTCGTGAAGCCCTCGAGCTTCGCGAGCTTTTCGCCGAGCCGTTCGTCGAGCGAGCCCTCGACGGCGTAGCTCGCGGCGGCCGCCGGTTCGCCGTCGGCCTCGGCGTCGCCGCCGGGCGCGCCGCCCGGCGACGACGCCAGCGAACTCCGGCTCGCCGCCGGCGACCGGGCCAGGGTCCGGCGGAACGTGCCCGCGCGGCCGGACGACCGGCCGCTCGTCGGCGGCTGCGGCGAGAAGCCCACGGACGGTCGTGGTGTTTTTATGGGTGTTGTCGTGGGACCCACGGACGGCCGCGGCACCATCGGCATCGCCGCGGGGCCCACGGACGGGCGCGGCCCGGACGGAGTAGCCATGCTGCCCCGCCCGAAACGACGACCTTCAATAACTTGGTCAACAGAGTGATTCTTGAACTTCGCAGGCGTCGATGATGTGGACGCAGGACGAGGCCTTGCGGATTGCACAAGACCACCCGACGATCTCTCTCGTACTGCTCGTCCTGGCGCTCGTCGGCCTCGAGTGGATCAAGTCCGTAAGGAAGCCCGAGTTCCTCGAGAAGAAGCGCGGCTAGCGGCATAAGCCTTTGCCACAGGGCCTCGCTGCGAGCAGCAGAAGCCGCGCGCGCCACCACAGCCACGACGATGGCTCGCGCGCTGAAGCACACCGTCGAGTACCTGCCCTTCCAGGCCATGGCGGAGACGACGCGCATGATCTTCGCGCACGGGCGCGTGCCGCACGAGAATCTCGTCGTCTGGGGCCGCGCGTTCCGCCGCGAGGCCTACCCCTTCGGCAAGGTGCCCTGCCTCCACGTCGCCGCGGACGGCGCGACGACGACGGTCGCGCAGAGCGGCGCCATCGCGCGCTACGCGGCGAAGCTCGCGGGCGTCTACCCGAGCGACGCGCTGGCCTGCGCGCGCGGCGACGCCGTCTTCGAGCTCGCGCAGGAGCTCTGCACGATCAACCCGCTCGTCAACTGCTACGTCGGCGGCGAGCACGAGCGGATCAAGCGCTGGTACCTCGAGCGCCTGCCCGAGGCCCTCGGCCAGCTCGCGCGCCAGCTCGCGCGCGAGGACGGCCCGTTCTTCGGCGGCGAGAGGCCGCACCACGGCGACTTCAACGTCTACCACCACCTGAACAACGTCCGCGAGCTCGACGGAGACTACGACGTCGGCGCCGCGCTCGGCGACTGGATGGCGGCCATGGAGGCGCTCCCGGACCTGCGCGCCTACCTGGACCGGAGGCCGACGCTCGTCGGCGTCGGCGACGACCCGGGCCTCGTCGACCGCGCGGGCACCTTCGTCACGCAGCGGGACCCCTACGACAAGCGGTGCGCGCTCGCGGACGGGCTGTTTACGTTCGAGGCGTAGGGGTTGCAAAAGGAGGGGGGCTAGTCCCAGCCCAGGTTGATGGAGCTGCCGCCGCCGGGCGGGCGCGTGGTCTTGATGGAGCGGTTGCCGAGGATGGAGTTCTTGCCGCCGTCGCTGTCGCCGATGGCGCCGCAGCGCGCGCCGGAGTGCTTCGCGGGCGACGGCTCGACGAACTGGAGCTTCTCCCGCTGGCCGCGGAAGGGGTCGTCGCCCTTGGGCGCCGGCGGCGCGGCCGGCGCGGCCTCGCCGGACACGGCGAAAGTCGTCGCCGCGCGGTCGACGAGGTGCTGCGGCGGCTGCTCGCCGTACTCGCCGACGTACCACGCGACGAAGTCGCGCGCGGACGCGTCGGCGGCGACGGGCGGCGGGGGCGCGGCCCGCGCCGGCGGCGGCGCCCGCGGCGGCGCGCGCGGCGCCGGCGCGGCCGGCGGCTCGTCGGCCCGGGCCTCCTCGACGAGCTTGACCGCCGCGTGCTCGAGCGCGTCGCGCGTCGGCGGCTCGCCGTACGTCGACTCGTACCACTCCGCGAAGTGCTTGAGCTTGGCTCCGACGGCCGCGTGGTCCACGGACGGCGCCGGCGGCGCGTCGGCGAAGGTCACGCGGGGCCGCTCGTCGTGGTACGGCGCCTCCCGGTTCTCCCGCCCGCCGAGGAGCGCGCCGGCGTCGAGCGCGTCGCGCTCGAAGTTGCCGTGCTTGCGCCCGTGCGCGCGCGACTCCTGCTTCGGCGGCGACCTAGCGACGGCCTTCTTGCCCGCCTTGCCCGGGCTCAGGGCCGCGCTCAGGCCGCCGCCGCCGCCGTCGGAGAAGCCCACGGACGACGCGCCTCCGCCGTGCTGGTCCGCGAAGACCTTGCGCCCCGGCGCGCGGTCTTTATAATATTGCTCGTTGTGCTCGTGGCTCGCCGGCGTGATGCCGACGCGCTTCGTCGACCGCGTGCGCAGGTGGAACGTCTCCGCGCGCGGGTTCCCGATCGCGAACGCGTCCAGGCCGCCGAGCGCCGCGCACATGAGCCCCTCGCCGCCGTCGCGCGGCCCGCCGACGCCGCCGCCCGTGAAGACGGACTTGTCCGCCCGCGAGTCCTCCGGGGCGCCGCGGCGGCCGCGCCGCGCGGGCTCGTTCGACCGCTCCGCGAGCTCGTGGCGGTGGCGGCCGCGCGGCTTCTGGGTCGCGTCGTCGCCGCGCGCGGTGGAAAAGTCGGCCGTGGCGAAGGGCGACTCGCGGCGGTGCTCCGCGGGCTTGAGCCGCGCGGCGCTGAGGGACTCCTCGCCCCGGGGCAGCGCCGCGCAGTTCTCGTCGTTCTCCCACCGCGACCGGTCCGCCGCGAGCCTCTCGAGCCGCTGCGCCTCCGCGGACGCGTCGTAGCGCGGCGGCGACGGCGCGCGCGCGGGCGCGACGTCGCCGGGCGCGGGCCGCGGCGCGCGCGCGGGGGCCTTGTAGGGCATGTGGGTCATGCAGGCCCAGGCGCCGTCGGGCGCGTCGTCGCGCGAGCCGCCGACGAGGTAGGCCTGGCCCATGTCCTGGTCGACGAAGCGCCGCTCCCGCGGCACGACGGCGCGCTGCGTCGACGCCGCGCGGAGGGCGCGCGACCCCTCCTCGGCGTAGTGGTTCTCGAGCATGCCGGGCAGCATCGTGTCGAAGGCGGGCTGCCAAACTGCCTGCCGACGATTTTGTGCGGCGAGCGTGAGGATGCACTCGTGATGCACTCGTGATGCAGTTGGGATGTTGGGAGATCCACAAATTCACCTCGAGCACTTGTGATCGTCGGATCGTCGCTCGTCGGGCCGTCGCGTCGTGCGCCTCGAGGCCTTCGTGCGCCTCCGACTGTAACCCGACCGCGCGGGGGCGTCCGCGACGATGAAGATGTGGGTCGCGAAGAAGGCGCTGACGAACTCTGCGGTGCAGAAAAAGGTCAAGCAATCCTTGTTCAAGGAGGCGAAGAAGGACCCCAAGAAGGCCGCGGACCTGGCGACGCAAGCGGCGGCTCCGCACGTGAAAACAGTCGCGGCCCAGGTCACCCCCCCGGCCGGCGCGGCGGGCGCCGCGGCCGCCGTGCCCGTCGTCGTCGCGGCGTCGGTGCCGGCGTCGGACTGGACCGCGCACGTCGACCCGGCGACGGGAAAGGAGTACTACTACAACGCGAAGACGGGAGAGACGGTCTGGGAGCGGCCCGCGGCGTTCCCGGCGCCCGTCGTGAGTCCCGCGGCGGGCGCCGCTCCCGTCGTCGCGTCGTTCCCGGCTCCCGCGGCGGCGCCGGCGCCCGTCGTCGCGTCGGTCCCGGCCCCCGCGCCCGTCGTCGCGTCGGTCCCGGCCCCCGCGCCCGTCGTCGCGTCGGTGCCGGCGCCCGCGCCCGTCGTCGCGTCGGTGCCGGCGCCGGCGCCCGTCGTCGCGTCGGTGCCGGCGTCGGATTGGACCGCGCACGTCGATCCGGCCACCGGCAACGAGTACTACTACAATGCGAAGACGGGGGAGACGGTCTGGGAGCGGCCCGAGTTCGGCGTGCCGCGAGCCGCGCCGGCGCCCGTCGTCGCGCCCGCGCCCGCGCCCTCGCCCGCGCCCGTCGTCGCGCCCGCGCCGGCGCCCGAGGAGCGGCCTCTGCCCCCGTTGCCGCCGGCGGCCGCGACGGCGGTCCCCACGCTCCCGTCGCGGGCCGCGCCGCCGACGGTGCTCCCGCCGCGCGCCGCGCCGCCGCCGTCGCTCCCCGCGCGGACCGCGTCCGAGACCTCGGCGACGTCCGAGGGCTCGTCGGTCCGGGACCGGATCCGCGCGCTCTCGCTCCGGGAGGACCGGGCGCCGCCGTCGCCCGCGGCGACCGAGAAGGCCCGGAAGGTGGCCTCGGTGCTCGCGCGCGCGCGGGCCTTCGAGGCGCCCGCGCGCGAGGAGCCGCCGCCGCCGCGCGCGTCGTCGTCGATCCGGTCGCACATCGACGCCTTCAACGCGCGCGGCGCCGGCTGGGTCCCCCCCGGCGGCGCCGCCGTCGTCGTCGCGCCGTCGCGGCAGTTCCTCAAGGCGCTCCACGCCTTCGAGGCGACGGAATCGTGGCAGCTGTCGCTCGCGCAGGGCGAGGTCGTCGGCCGCGCCGAGGCCGCCGCGCCGTCCGGCGACGGCTGGCTCGAGGTCACGAACAGCGGCGGGACCCGGCGGGGCCTCGTCCCCGCGGCCTACCTCGCGTCCTGCGACGGCTCCGACGCGCCCGCGGCCAAGCCCGTCGTCGTCGTGAAACCCGCGACGGCCAAGTACAAGCCCACGGCCAAGCTCTACAAGGCGCCCAAGGCCCGCCGCTCCCTGTAATTCGTGTCTGCGGTTTAGGAGGGGTGTGGGAGGAGGTTGTCTGGGCTCCCCTGTAGGGTGGGCGAAAACGGCGGCGAGACGATGGCCTCGGGGGGAGACGAGCACGACGAGATGAAGGAGCCTGAGTGGATGGTGAAAAAGCGGGAGTATGAACAGCGAATGGCCCGGGCGAAGAACGCCAAGCTCCGCACGCTGTGCACGATTTGCGGGGAGAAGGCGAAGCTCCCATGCCCCTGCGGAACTGCTCAGTACTGCACAGTTGCCTGTCAGAAGATCGATTGGCGCGACCGCGGGCACCGGAAGGCCTGTAAGAAAATTCGAGACGAGCGCGCGGCGGAGGCGGCGCGGGCGGAGGCCCCGACGCCGCCCCCGCGGGACGTCGTCTACGGCCCCGCGCCGCGGTCGGGCGCCGACGAGGTCCGCGCGCGCATCGCCGCGGAGCACGAGGCGGCGCGGGCGCGGCGCGAGGCGAACCCGGAGCCGGAGCCATTGTCCGCGCGCCAAGGCTCGCGATGCCCGATTTGCTACGAGGATTGGGACGTGAACTTTCACTTCGAAATGACTCCATGTTGCGCTCGGACGATCTGCACTCGGTGCCACATTAAGCACGGGAAGCAACCGTGCGCTCTGTGCCGTGCACCATATCCGGAGAGCAATGAGGCATACGTGGCGGGCATACGTCGCCACGCGGAGAACGAAGTCCCAGACGCGGTCTTGTATTTGGGGAACTTCTACCGGGACGGCGCGTACGGCCTCGTGAAATCAGAGAAGAAGGCCGCAAAGCTCTACAAACGCGCCGTCGAGCTCGGAAACGTACATGCAATGACAGCATTGGGCGCTCTTTACGGTCTCGGACTCGGCGTGAAGATGGACCCGAACAAGGCGAGGCAGCTCTATCGCATGGCCGTGGATCGGGGTGACGCGAACGCACAGAGCAATCTCGCAATGGGCTTGCGCAAAGAGGGAAAGTACGACGAGGCCATGCGGCTGTTTCTGCTGTCAGCGAAGCAGGGCTACGCCACTGCGATATATGGCATCGGTTTTATGTACATGAGCGGTATGGTTGGCGGGCGCCCGGACTACGTCGCAGCCCGCCCCTGGCTCGAGCGCGCGGCGGCGGGCACGGACGACGAGGTCGTCGAGAAGGCCCGCGTTGTCCTCGCCCAACTCGACGCGCGCGGACTCTAGATAACAAACACGGGAGCTTTAGTACACACGAGCTCGCCAGCGCCGCGGGCGCCGACACGGACGCGGGCCGCGGCGGCGATCGGGACCCCTTCCGCGGCCGCGGCAGCTGTTGCCCCGGCTTCGCTGCGTCGTCCGGGCTTCGCAGCTCGGCCTCGCCGTGGCGAAGGCGCGGGCCTCCGGGGCGAGGCACGCGTCCGTCACGAGTCCGTCGACGGAGCCCGGGCGACGGAAGTCGCACCCGACACCATGCCCGACACGGGCCCGATCGGGATCGACCGTCGAGCTCTCCAGCGCCACGCAGATCGCGCTCTGCTCGAGCTCTGCGACGCCAACGCGCAGATTGCGACAGCGCCATGCTCATGCTGCGCATCCTCACCCTCGGCTGCGCCGCGTCGGCGCTGTCCGGCGGCAAGGGTTGGGTCGGCAAGGCGGCGGATCTGTTGCGGCAGAAGGCGCCGCCCTCGGCGCTGGTGCTGGACCGCGCGCCGACCTGGGAGGCGCTGGCGGCGAGCCTCGAGGCGCAGTCGACGACGGAGGAGGCCGGTTTCGCGTCGCTCGTCGCGTCCGGCCGCGGGCCGCCGAGCGCGTCCGCGAACCTGCGGCTCTTCGACGAGCCGGACGGCTACGAGCCGCGCGTCACCCTGTACCGCGACGGGTCGAGCTGGTGCCCCTACTGCCAGAAGGTCTGGATGCAGCTCGAGGAGAAGCGCATCCCCTACAGGGTGGAGCGCATCAACATGCGCTGCTACGGCTCGAAGCCCGCGTGGTTCGAGCGCGACGCGGGCGGCCTGCTGCCGGTCGTCGAGCTCGACGGCCGGCTCATCACGGACAGCGTGTCCATCATGCTCGCGCTGGAGCGCGAGTTCGGCGGCGACAGGTCGCTGCTCCCGCCGGGCGGCGTCGACGACATCCGCGACCTCATGGGCCTCGAGCGGGAGCCTGTGTGGCAATCAAATCTTCAACCCGACTTCAATGTGAGCGTATTCGAATGTTTTGACACAAAAATTTCCACCGTGCTTCGAGAACTGGACAAGAGCAATCGATCCATCCAAAAATCAGCCAAATCGACTCCGAATTGACCGAGCTAGAGAATTTCAAACTTTGGTCGGGACGTCCCAAACCAGTGGTTGTTTCGCACACAGGCGGCAGCTCGGGTCCGCGTGGCTGGGCTGGCTCCGCGCGCCCCCGGGCGTCGGCGGCGGCGCGCGGTCGACCTTCGAGGGCCAGCTGTCGCGGGTCGACGGGTTCCTGAGGTCCACGGCGGGCGGCTTCTTCCTCGGCGAGGAGCTGAGCCTCGTCGACCTCCTCTTCT